TACGGAACGACGATATAGAAAAACGAGTAAACGGACTTAGGGAAGCGGCATGTCACGAAAAACGGGGATACTGAAACTTGGGGAAAACGTAAGGTATACTTACAAATATGCTATACAACATAATTTTTATTTATATGTAAAAAAAATTAATATATTTTCATACAAATATATTCGAAATAAATATTGCTATCAACTATCAATTTGCAATTGATCATTAAATCATGTAATTAATTAGGGAAGCAACAAAAATATTTGAAATTTTGCTATTCAAACATGTTTCTAACTTTTCAGAAATTACAAAATGGCCCTTAAGGTGTCCGGCAGGTGTCCTAGAGTGTCGGACACGTTAAACCCATACTCACCTGATAGACTATTTAAAACTTCAATAGCAAACAGAAAAGAACAAGCATTTCTAGCTTTCTTTAGGAAGAACGAGTCGATCTTGACCTTCGATCACCTTTGCGGATCGGATCACATCTCCGGTTTTTAACTCGGATAACGTTTCTTTTCCCTTAGTCGTGTATCTGTGCATCAATTTAAATTACAACTATATCAAAAGTAGCAAATAATGTTCTTGAATAGTCGGAATTTAATGTAAATACGGTCAAATTAAATAATCGACGAGCTTTTAAAAACACATTACCCAAATACAGAAAATTGGCCTTCGTCAAACGATAGCCCTCCTAAGCCAGCCTGCGAATATATAGATTCAGATTATTGCTCAATTCCATTTTAGGAAAATTAAAAAAATAAATAAGATGCAAAACTAAATATTCCTCACATTTCTTTTGTCGTAAAGATAAAAGAAGAATTGATTCGGCGAAGAATATTCCTCGGAGTCCGGATTATGAGCCATGACCACTGAACCGTAAACGGATAACGGAAGCACAGGCAGCTCCCCGTCCTTTTTTTTACACGGACAATTTTTAACCGTCATTTATCCAAGCAAATGAAATTTCGATGCGTAATTTGCATTAATGGGTTAAATAAACTTTGTTTAAACCTGAACACTTAGTGTTGTTTTGTAGAGTGGCTCAAATTGGCCAGACGGCATTATTTCGAGGGGGGTGATGTACCCTTTGTCCTTTCCCACAGCACCGTCTGAAAGAATAGCTTGGTCTGTGCAGTTAAGTTTCATCCCGTCGTAAACCCCATCGACCACCTGCATTGTATTCGAACACAAGTTGACAATAATATTTCTGTAATAAGCAGTAAGAACTTTCATCGCCAAATAAAATAAAACGAATAAAATGCTAAGAATAGTAATCGAATTGTGAGAAGGAGAATATGGGAGAAAGATGAAGCGAGATTCCACTACCTTACCAGTTTTGCAAAGTTCCCTGCTGTAAGAGGGGCTGAATACCCATCTACGACAACCTAATTAAACGTACAGATTAGTAATTAGTAAGACAAACTTCGCTTACTTATGTTGTTATTTATGTGACAATCAGATTGTGTACATATCAACAATAGTAAAGTCTTGAGAAATTGTTGTGGTGTTTCAAAAGGGTAGAATCGGAACAATACCTGAATTATTGCGGTGTTTCTGGGTTGACCAGCGGCTTCTGGAGAAAATGTCGAGCCGTCTCCTTTCTCGATAGCAAATTCAACTACTGCTCTCCCTGCAAGCCTAAGACGATAGGTAAAATTATTAATTTATTATAATCCATAAGGCATTATACTACCTCCTCGCTTCTTCAGAGGTTATGATGATTAACTTATATTGGAGCTGCAAAAATAAAATGCATTGAAGTATGATATATATATATATATATATATATATATATATATATATATATATATATATATATATATATATATATATATATATATATATATATATATATATAGCAAATACCTATATGAATTGTAGGAGAAAAGATTAGTGAGATGATTACCTTGGATAGTTTGAGTATTGCTGAGGCAACAGAAATGATAACCCTGGAGCCTGTTGACAAATACATTCTTGATACATCACTGATCATGAAACTCGTCAAAAGTTAATTAAAAAAATAAATAAATAATAACTGCAGGAGGCTATACAAAAAGAAAGCAACCACAAATACCTGCAGCAATTCGAGCTGCGCAATAGTATCGAGGGTAGTCGATAGGCCAACGGATATTTTGTCTGCATCTTTATCCTTGATGCTATTGAGAAGTTTATTAAGCCCACCCTGACAAACCAAAAGAAATTCTTTATTATTTTTCTACTTTCTGAATTAACAACAACTACTCAATGCAACTTCGGTTCAAAACCGACTGAACTTAAGTGTAAGTAGCATTTGTTTCACAAGATAGATTACTAATTCGAAAAACAAAATCCTACATTTTTAGATGGTGACTAGGTTGTCTGAAATAGAGGGATTAAGAATAAATTTGATTTATTGAACTCATAAATAATGAGTAAGTTATCTGTGCACGGACCAAATAACCTACCACATTATATATGCTAAACCGAAAAAGTGTCCTGATATTCAAGTTCGTATATACTATTTTCTATAGATAAATAAAGCTCTCATTCTTTCTTCTACAGTACCTCCCCATCTGTAAGAGATGCATAGAGTGCATCACCCTTTTCTCTCAAATCAGCAGGCGTACTAGACAAGATGGATTCTTTTTTATCCACAGCAATCTGACAAGGAGAATAACAAAGACGAGGGCAAACATTATTATAACCATATGATAGTGAGAAAAATTAAATTGCTGTATAATACCAAATAACCAATTAAAATTAAATAAATAAATACTGCAAGGAACAATACTGCAAAATCCCAAGAACAATTTCCATTTCAATCACATGATCGTTGCATATGAACATTTATACATATATTATATATAGATGTACATGGAAAACCGAGAAATACCTTTAGAGCTTTCTTGACATTTCCCTCCATTGTTCCATACGGTTTCCTCTGTGGAATCCTTAGCAAGTAAGATATGTCCTCCAGAGAATCCTTTAACAGAAGAGTAAAATATTTTAACCTTTTTTTTCATCGTCAAAAAATATTGAAGACCATGCACAAATAAATTTATAATTGCTCATTGAACCTGTATAGCTTTCATGTTTGTGTTGGCAGGGATTGCTCTTCTCAAAGCTAGTTCCCCAGTCCGAGGAATCTTCGTCTCGGGTGAATAAAGAACTGCTTCGGCAGAAGGAACGAACCAAGACTGATGACCTGGCAAAGGTAGTGGTGATATCAGCTGAAGAAAAATAACGATGGCTGTGAAAGCACTCTCGAACTGCTTCCTCTGTGGTTCCATCCATGCCTTTAACTTAGAGCAGTAACTGTTCACAGTCACTAACTCCTGCGTTGAAATAACAATCTAAGTAAAGATTCGACGATGTTTAATGTTGGAAATGACGAAGGTATATGCAAGTAGTATACGATCCCACTGCAAGAAAGAAAGCGATCCCATAATCGGCACTCCGAAAATAATAACAAGGGAGAGAATATCACCGGCATTTCGAGATGAATACAAATTTCAGTCTGTCAAAATTTCTTTCCCACAAGTGTATAAGAATAACGTTTGATCTGCATTTTACTTCTCGGCATTTTGCTATGAGTATATATATCGAAATTGTTGTGTTGTCACTAAACGATTTTCTCTGATTAATCGAGCTATCATGCTTTCGGTTATGGGATTTTCTTGCTAATTTCCTAATAGCAAGTTGTTAAACATTCCTCCCTAATTTTGAACCACTAATCGACTTAGTTCTTCGTAAATCGTAATGCCATTTTGCTTTATAAAACTCGGTCCCTCTATTCGGAGATTATTCTACTGATCATGATTATGCATGCAAACCATTTGAAATTAGGCCTTTTTCTGGTAAAAAAAAAAACTCAAATTTACACTACATACTGCAAAAACACACACAATAATTGAATGGGCTTCAGAAATTACAATCATAATTACAACAAAAAATATATACTATATCATCAACCACTGTGAGCAAATGCCTATCACCCAAAATAAAACTAAATTGGGGGAAAATTTTGCAGAACAAACAAGGCCATCGATAACTCATGGATAAGTCGAAATTAATTAATTAAAAAACAATTAAAGCGAAGATTATATAAAATTGGATCGAAAACTGAACTAACCATGGAGCCATTATCCTTCTTCGCCAAAATGCGGCTGAATTTAGGAGAAATTTGCCTCCGAGAGAAACGGGTGGTGAACAGAGAAGTTAGCTGCGGAGTGGATGAGCGGTGGAGAGAGAGGCTGTTTGGGGAGAAAGTGGAAGCAGATAAAGGAACGGCCATTAATGGAGTTTTATGAGGTTTTGGCGCGCCTCATCCAAAGCGTAATCTACACTTCACTCTCTCTCTCTCTCTCCTCTACTTTTATACTGTTTGGTTCTGAACACTGCGTTTCTCTCTCCTATTTTTCACTCGGAAAAGAGAAAGAGAAAAAAACATCCAGTAAGATTAGTGGTCTTTCGTGTTCATAGAAAATACGTTTGATCCATTATATTTCAATAATTCAACATTTTTAGCCTTTTTTATCAATTTTTTGTTAAAACTAACGAAACCAAGCTTGTATCCATCACCTACCTAACTATCGGACTAATGATAAATTGACAGAAATGACAAAAAAATTTAGATATTGAAACATGAAGGACCAAATGTGTGTTCTATAAACATGATGGACCAAATGTGGAATCAGTGCAAACTTAAGGGGTGAAAACTGTAATTATCGCATTATTTTTTCTTAGAACAATATTTACCAGGGAAATTACAGTTTTCACCTCTCAAATTTGCACCAATTTCACATTTGACCCCTCATGTTTGTAAAAAATACATGGTCCCTCATGTTTACAAAAAACACATATGGTCTCTCATGTACCAATATTTTATCATTGATGGTCATTTCCGTCAATTAACCTTTAGTTCGTTAATTAAGACAGTGATGGGACACCATGCTTGATTCCCGTTAGTTTAAATGGGAAATTTACGGAAATAACTATAACGGCTGAATTATTCGAAACATAAAGGATCAAATATAGTTTTTGTGAACATGAGGGACCAAATGTGAAATCTGTGCAAATTAGAGGGATGAAAACTGTATATTTCCCAATTTTTACCCGTTGTAACATTTAATCAGGAAAATTACAGTTTTTGTCCCTCAAGTTTGCACCGATTTTATATTTGACCCCACGTTCATAAATAATACATTTGGTCCATCATGTTTTAGCAATTTGACACTTTTGGTCATCTCCGTTTACCGTTAGTCCATCAGTTAAGAAAGTGATGGACACATAATTAATTCCGTTAGTACTAACTAAAAATTAACTAAAATGATCAAAAGTATTAAATTGTTGAAACATGAGGGCTAAATTTGTTTTTTGTGAACATGATAGACCAAATGTGAAATTAATATAAACTTAAAAGACGAAAAGTGTAGTATTCCCAATTTAATCGAGTTTCAATAGTTTGAATAGATGAAAAAAATCTAGTCATGTAATGTTGTAGTTATTAAGCTTGTAATATAAAGATTTGAAATGATAATGACATGCATTGTATTAATATCGATTGCACTTTTACATTTATTATTAAAATTTCAAAATTCAGATTCTCTCACACTCTATGAAACTCTCAAATTTTTCTACTTTGATCTCGTGACGTACGTCAATAGATCTAAGGTTGAATTCGCTTGGTTTTGGTGAACCATCGCCCTCAGTCGGTTCGCTCAATTCCAAGCGAATTAATGTGTTTAATAATTTTCTCTTTTCATATATTTCAGAACAAATATACGCGTAAAATTGACAAATTCAAAAAAAAAAAAACTTAATTCCAGTTGTGAGTTATGTGGATCCATTTCAATAATTATTAATTTGAAACTGAAATTATCGGAAACTGTTTTGACATCAACTCAATATGCATTATTTAGACTCACTCTATTGTGGTTTGCATTGTTAGACGACAGATCGTATTCTCTTTATATCAACTAAACCGTTATCTCGCACCACAATGGAAAAGGCAAGTAAGCAACATTGAAACAAATGCCAAAAATACAGTCTCCTTTAAACTCGTATTTAAAAAAACAAAAAAAAAAAAAAAGATTTGCTCGATGTAAGTATAAAACGTGGACGTTCATTTTCCCCCTCTTCATTAGGACATAAAAAATATGTTTTAAATTTTAATTAAATGAAGTTCGAATAGAACTTCATGTTTAAGAATCTTAGAATTAATCGTTATGAAGTAACTAAAAATGCATCTTCTAAGAATAATTTGAATTCCATAACACCAAATCTATTAAGCTTATTTAATGAATTAATTTTATAACAAAAATTTAGATCCATAATTCCTATTTTAAACTAATTTTTGGATCCATTGGTTAATTTTAAAATCTTATTATCTATATATGCAATTATAAAAAATATCTTACAAAAACCCTAGTATGGAATCTAATTACAACCTCAACTAATTTGTTAACCAAACCTACACTTCAAATTATTATGCTAAAACCCACTTATCAGAAAAACGTGCTACTGTAAAAGAAGCGACTTTAACTATAACAGGAGATAATATATAAATCTTACGAGCTTAATTCCACTTTGCACCCTTAAAATATACAATTTTTGTACTTTACATCCTCGAAATAGATATAATAGCACTTTGCACACTCGAAACACACTAAATCATGCATTATGCATCCCAAATGATTTCTTTAAAGCTAATAAAAGTAATTTAATATTTTTAGTGGTATTTATTTTGGATGACAAATATCAAATCCCTTTTTTTTTATTCACCAATCATTTTGAAACTATAAAGTGCAAAAATAAAAATACTTCTCATCAACATATTTAAAAATCATATTTTTTATGACAAAAAAATATTTTACAATTTTTTTCTAGCTATTCTATTATTAAGTTATCTAAAAATAATATTTTCTTCCAAATATTTTTACCTAATATTTTCATCTGCTATAATAAAAAGATCCTAATATTTTAGAGATTGAAGTTTATTTTATATGAAAATGTAGTCTTTTTCAATAATCAAGTGTAACTTTTACTTTTCGCACTTTGTGCGCTCGAAATTATGTTCGAGGTTGAAGATAATAACTATTAATTTGTTATTTTGCATCCTAAAAAAACAATAAAAATAAAAGGGTAAACGACAACTACCCCTGAGGTATGGTCATTTACGAAAAAACCTCTAATGTTTGGATAACTACAACCACCTCATCATCAATGAAAATTTCTTACACGTCCACCATAATGGTGTCAAATTCAACATAATTTTCTAGATTTCGTGAGATGTTCTCTAGTTTGTACTCGTTTTGTGCAAAAAATGCATTTTATGATGCACCACAATCTGATATTTACAAGCAAAAAAACACATCTTATGATCATCTTGCTCCAAAATGTGGAGTTCGAATGGCATAAAACATATACACAATTGAGAATATTCCATATAATCTAAAAGATTCCACTAAATTTGACATCTCAAGGGTGGACGTGTAAAAAGATTTATAGTTGAGGGGGTGGTTGTAATTACCTAACCATGAGGGGTTTTTTTTTCGTAATTTGACCATATATACCTCAGGGGTGGTTGTAATTTACCCAAAATAAAATTGCCTTTATTATTCAATCAGGATGCATCCTGAATAATTTATTGTGTTTTGATGGTGCAAAGTGCTATTATTATTTTTCAAGGATGCAACGTACCGAAATGTTTCATTGCAAAGGTGCAAAGTGTTATTAAGACTTATTCAATTCATGGTGCATTGTGAGTAATTTATTGTGTTTTTAGGGTGTAAAATGATATTATTATTTTTTAAGGATGCAAAAGTGGAATTAAGCCAATCTCCTCAGCAGAAAACGCGATTCCCTAGAATCCATCGTTCCCAGCAATTGGCAGAACAAACAAATCTGTTCCACTGCGCACAGTTAAATTTGGGGAGCAGTAACAAAAAAAAACTTCACTCTCTGAACTCAGCATCTCCGCTTCTACTGCTGCCGCATTGCGCCTCGCCGATCGCCGATCGCCGCTCTCCGTCAACGGACTGATGGTCTCTACAGATCGGTGAAAATGGCGAGTTTCTTGCCTCAGTTTCAGAGTATCAAGACATCCTTCGATCACGTCGTTCTCGCCGGTAAGTTTCCGTTAATTTTGTCCTTTTTCCCCGTCAATTCAGCAACCCTAGCGTTTTTGCTTTGCCGTTTGGTGTACTGATTGCACCAATCTCTCTGTGTGTGTGTGTGTGTGTGTGTGTGTGTGTGTGTGTGTGTGTGTGATTAATTAGCACTTCAATCAAACTAAAGAAGAATTAGATTTCAATTGAGGTTTTAGTGGTCTTTTAGCTTTGAGTAAGGTTTATCGATGCAGTGTTGCTTGCGAGAAGTAATCAATTTAGCCTCTGAGTGGTTCATGGATGGAAAAGTACTTCACTGATTAAGATCATCTGCCCACTGTTTTTTTTCTTTTTAATTAATAGGCAACATAAAATCAAAGAATTAATCATCGGATTGTACGGTTGTACCCCGAGATTTTACAGCAGATGTCAATTATATTTGAATCTGACAAACCATGCCATTTTAGAATTGGTAGATTTTTTTGGCAGGATCAGTTATTACTCTTGTATAGGTTTCGAGATTTGCTTATATAAAGTGCTATTTATGCTATTTATTAGTTTCTTATAGTAAATAATACAAGAAAAATAGAATTGAAGTTGCAATTTCATAAGAGCTACCTTTATCTTATAGTCGAGGATGTAAGCGATCTGTGGCCCATCGTCAAGAAGGGTTTTGAAGAGAGGTTGCCATTCAGAAGGGCTTTTTTGAACAACAAGACCCGTAATCCAGTGCTTGTTGATGAATTACCTGCTGAATATATACTGACAACAGATGCGAGACTACGTAGTCGGTTTCCTCAAGAGCAAGCATTATTTTGGTTCCGAGAGCCATATGCAACTATAGTTCTTGTTACTTGCGAGGTAACAGTTACAGTGCCTCAAGCTATTTTCATTTTATCTCTTTAGCATCAGTCTTTAATTGCTGGCATTTTCCAATTCGTCTCTATATGTTGGCATTTTGATTCCCATTTATGTGGAATATTTTCCTTTTATGCGCTTTCTATTTCCACTGTTTAATATTTGCTTTTTGTGTAGGATCTTGATGAGTTTAAGAACATTCTTAAACCACGCCTCAAATTAATTGTGCAAAATGATGAACGAGAATGGTTTATTGTTTTTGTGTCTAAAGCACCAGCTCACAATGATCAAGCCACCAAGATGGCAAAAAAAGTGTATGCCAAACTCGAAGTTGATTTTAGCTCTAAGAAGAGGGAAAGGTAAGCATTAAGTTTTATGACATTTTTTTGTAGTAAAAAAACAAGACAAATTATTTATGTCTTTGATTGGTTTTTGGAACTGTAATTGCCGGGGTATTGAACTTTTATCTTGCTATTAAATATTTGTCAAAAGAAATAAGTTATGGTATTCACAAAGTAACAATAGCAAGGGCAAGTAAAAAAGAAAGCAGACTTTCTTATAATTGGATACAACAGATCCTAATTTGAGGCTGTCAAATGTTACACTCAGGTGCTGCAAATTGGATCTTCATGGACCTGATGGACATTCGTGGGAAGACTTGGAGGCTAAAGTCATGGAATGCATCAGAAATACTCTAGATAGACGCATTCATTTTTATGAAGACGAAATTCGCAAGCTCAGTGAACAGCGATTTATGCCAGTCTGGAACTTCTGCAACTTTTTCATCCTGAAGGTACTTTCTTATGCTGAAAAATGTATCAATGTGGTTTCTGCCAGACAACCAAGAGCTCATGTAAAACCTCTTCAGAAGGCTCTTTCTTATTTGTAAGAGCAATCTCGAGAGATTTTGAACGAGCTACGTTGTAACTTTCCTGATTGATGATGCTAGATAGCATTATGAAAGCAAGACTATACAACTGCAGTTTCTTAATTGAATAAATGAGATCTTGCATAAATTGCTTATCAGGAAAAGTGAAAAGATATGATGGTTTATTGCAGTATATTATGCTGCGGCTAACTTGATGGTGGAAATTATTTATATACTTTTAGTTTTGTTTTACAATTCAAAAGTGCTTATTCTTGGAATAGATGAGAGGCTAATGTTGTGTTAGGTCGGAAGGAAAGGCAAAAGGATGGTATGTGTGATGGTGGGGGAACCCTGAGGCTGACACTTGGTTAATAGGAAGAAATTGGAGAAAGAAGTAGATTGAGAGGGGAGCCTGTTTACTGTAGCCTGGTTTTTAATCTTATGAAGATTTGCATGCAGATTTGAACAAATAGTACTATCTAAGTTCAACTGAAATATGCATATTTAAATGTATAAGGGTGAAGATTTGAATGAAGTAGAATTTTATAAGCTTAAATATGCACGTGGATAAATTGTGTAAACATTTGTTTTAGCATCTTACATGAATGTCTCAGAAAATTCAGTCTCCTTTTCACAAATGTAAAAAGAATTTAGTATCCTCCTTTCCTTCTCCTGTCACTAGCTCTACAGAATTTTATCTGATGTTCTTAGACTCTGCAGGATTATAATGTGCATAGTTATATAAAATGGTGAAGTACATTTTTTGGTACCTTTGATTTTTTGCTGACTGACGTCACATGCTCATGAATATTCCCTTTTATGACAGGAAAGTTTGGCTTTTATGTTCGAGATTGCTCATCTCCATGAAGATGCTTTACGTGAATATGATGAGCTCGAACTCTGTTATTTGGAAACAGGTGCTCAGTGCATGAACCATCTTACCTTTTGTCTTCTTTGTAGAAAATGGATGTTGATTTGGACAATGTAGTCAAACTCTAACATAATTGGCACTCATCGCCATTCTTCTGTTTCATTTTTTAAATCAGAGGATTTCGTTATCCTTCACTTCTTATTTTAAGCATTCATATCTTAAACTTCTAGATATTTCAAGATATCTTCTATTTTCTTATAAACTTGATGTAATTGCTCTTAAACTTGACGGCTTTAGTTAGAATGGAATTTTTTTTTCACAAATTGTCAAGGAGAAAACACCATTCCCCTGAATTATATTTATTTTTCTTCTCTCAAAACTCGTTCCTGCTGAGCTGACATAAATTTTTTAATTCAATAAACATAATTATGGTCTTCTTTGATGGTTATAATAGTTGTAGATGGAATCGCATCTCAGTTCTAGTTAATTTTCTCTCTCTGCCTTGAAGTATGTATGCACGATCTTACTTTCTCTGCATGTCTCTGCACTGCAGTTAATATGGCAGGAAAAAGAAGGGACTTTGGAGGACTGGAGCAAGGAGATGATCAGGCTACGCTGCTTGACCCTGGGAAGAAAGCATTGGCTCAAATTGTTCAAGACGACTCATTTAGGGAGTTTGAGTTCAGGCAATATCTATTCGCCTGTCAAGCAAAGGTGTGTAAGATATTGTGATCAGCTTTAGTTGGTTTTGCATTGTGGATCCTTTCAGGTCTATCTTACTAGATGTCCTTTTCCAGATTTGCTTTAGTCTACTGATATGATTTTGAACAGTAAATATTACAATATTAACATCATTGACTAGCTTGCGCTATTCTGTGGCTTATTTTCTGTTTACTTTCTAAAATTTTCATGGCGTCTTTCTCTTTCCTTGTTTGCATGAACTTGTGGCTTGCTATGTGCTTAATTTCTAAGAATTCCATTGCATTTTTCTTTCTTTGTGTTTGCCTGAACACACTTTCTCGAAATATGTTCTAAGAGGGTTTTAATGACTTCATAAATGCAGCTGCTCTTCAAATTAAGTCGTCCATTTGAGGTTGGTTCTAGGGGTTATTCATTCATAATCAGCTTCTCAAAAGCTTTGGCTTTGCACGAGGTAGTTCGCATTCACTTCTAATCTTTACTTGTAGTTGTCTCCTAATTGCTTTGCACATATTTTTACCTTATAAAGATTCCATAATATTGTGCTCTCTAGAGATTGTTGCCGTTCTGTATGCGTGAAGTCTGGGTAATAACAGCTTGCTTGGCGTTGATTGATGCAACTGCTTCTCATTATAAAGATGGACTGGCAGCAGCTGATGTTGAAAAGGAGTTTTACCGTGTTCAAGGGGAGCTATACACTTTATGCCGGACTAAGGTAGTATTCCTCATGTTTAAGAATTAAATCTAGAAAAGGAAAGAGTATGTACTGAGCTCCTGTTAGCTTGCCTACAGGAGTTAACGGAATCCTTCTTTTGTTTACCTCAAAATTAGTCCTGAAATACAGATATCTTCTAGATTTTTAGCAAGACTTTTTATACTAGTGTCAGTAATTTATTTTTCGTTTTTAAGTGTAGGACAAATATTACAGTCCAATTATTTATAACCAGATTGATGGTTGAAGTATGTAATTGTTGTGACAGTTTATGCGGCTAGGGTACTTAATTGGCTATGGATCGGATATAGATAGAAGTCCTGTCAACAGGTATTTGCTAATTTTTACTGTACTCTGCCCATTTAGTGTTTTTATCCCTTGCAGAAAAATCTTGTACTATATTGTTCTTATTCGGTGAAAGATTTATTCTTGGATTTGAATTGCTTTTGCATATCCTAATTGGTACTGTCAAGAAAAGAGAAGTATTAATGCGAGGAAAACCAATATCAATCTGTTATATGACAATGAAGTTCTCTGGCTTCTTGCAGTTCTTGCAGAATACTATAACTTCTGTTTTTCCATGCAGTGCTTCACTCAGCATGCTGCCATGGCCTAAGCCTGCAGTTTGGCCATCACTTCCATCCAACGCTTCATCTGAGGTGCTTGCAAAAGAGAAGGTGAGTTCGGGTGGATAGCAATATGAAAACTTTGACATCGAAAGATAGGCAGTTACTAACCAAATTTGCAGTTGCCTTTAGTATTTGTTTCAAATAGCTTAAGCCTGCTTCTGTTTTCCTGCAGTTAGTTGGACTTCACTAGTGATTTTTATTAAGTAAAAATATATTTTTATTTGGGGGTTATTGTTGTCTCATTTAGGATCCACGATTCTCTTCTCTGAAAATTTCTAAGAAGAAACGTGTTCTCATATAACAATTATTTTAGTAGAATGTTTTGCTTGAACACAAAATCAGTAATTGGTGCAAATCTTTTTTTTTTTTAATATTCAAATAATGCAAGGAATCACTTTGCACTGAATTCTTAGACCTATTTCACAACGTCCTAGCCTTTAGTTTTCCACTATTTGCCTTCCTTTTAGAATTTGTGATGACTACATCTCCAGCCATTCTCTATGAATGCATTATAGTGTTGTGGTCATGTTAAAAAGCTTTCCTCAAGCAGTGCATACAAATATATATTTTCTACACTTGCTGTGCAGATGATTCTCCAAGAATCTGCACGGCCTAAGCACTTCGGGATTCAGAGGAAGCCGCTGCCTCTAGAACCGTCAGTACTGTTGCGCGAGGCAAATCGCCGTAGGGCTTCTCTCTCGGCTGGAAATATGCTTGAGTTGTTTGATGGTCGCCCTTATACCAATGATGGGTAATGAAATTTAAGGAATACGTCAACTCTATGGATATTAATATTAGTTACTGTACAACTTTCATGTGTGGTTGAATTAGCAATCCTTGCCAGGATTGTTATTTTGTGATTTTATTGTTTGACCGGCATGCTTTGCCAACCAGCAAATGCCAAAATCCAGTACTTCTACACATGTTAATGTCATGAACTTCCTCCATTATTATCATTATTTGAAGAAGAAATGAATATCTTACCCACCAGGTTCGGTGAAGTTCTTTCGCTGTTTGTGGTTTGATGTTTAAGGAATTGATATTATTAATATTTTGAGAGGAAATAAGTTGTCGTGATATGTTTTACTGTAAGGTGTGTTGAACTCCCCAGAACACTGGGGGCACTGTTTGTACCTTCTTTTCTTTGTGTTGCATCTCGGACTGTCATGTGTGTGAGTTTTTTACTTTGACAAGGAGAAACAAAATGTCCTTTCTCAAATGTTTCTCTGTGACAGTTCAGGATCACCGTCTCCATTGCCTAAAGGGAATACGCTATCCATGTCAAGGACTTTTTCATCAACGGGGAATTTTGAAGGTTCAATTGATGCCCCTATGAGACTTGCAGAAATATATGTTGCCGCCGAGCATGCCTTACGTAGTACAATTTCTGATGTAGAAATGTGGAAATCGTTATCCTCGGTTGAGGAATTTGAGGTAATTGGCGTTCAGCCCTCTATATTCCTTTAAATATTTTGATTTACTATCTCGAGTAAGTGTCTTTTTTCCTCATATCAGCACATGTTTCTACTTTTGGAGTATGAGCTCAGTGATTTTAGTCAACTACTGCGTGATCACCAGTAACCTTCTCTGTTAGATTAGTAAAAAGGGAGTTGTCTCTTCCAAAAGGGAATTGTTTGCTTGCCAACTTTCTGTTTCTCCAATGTTGTAAAAGTCACAAGTTCCACTAGATCTATGACCCTATGTGGTCACTGGTCACCATTATGTTCATTTGGTTAATTACTTTAGTTTCTCTGTATTTGTTCACCATACGACTAATCTGAGTTTTTAAATTCCAGCAAAAATATCTGGATCTTACAAAGGGTGCTGCAAACAACTACCATCGCTCTTGGTGGAAGAGACACGGAGTTGTCCTTGATGGTGAAATTGCAGCAGTCTACCATAAGCACGAAAATTATGATTTTGCTGCAAATTTGTATGAGAAAGTTTGTGCTCTTTATGCGGGTGAAGGATGGGAGAATCTACTGGTGGAAGTTCTGCCAAATCTGGCAGAGTGCCAAAAGATACTGAATGATCAAGCCGGCTACTTATCTTCTTGTGTGAGATTATTGTCATTAGATAAAGGATTGTTCTTAACGAAAGAACGACAAGCATTTCAGTCTGAAGTTGTCCGTCTTGCCCACAGCGAAATGGAGCATCCTGTGCCGTTGGATGTGTCCTCCTTAATTAGATTTTCCGGAAATCAGGGACCTCCTCTAGAGCTTTGTGATGGGGACCCTGGCACACTGTCCGTTATGCTAAGGAGTGGATTTCCAGATGATATAACTCTTGAATCACTCAGTCTTACACTGTCAGCTACTAATAATACTGATGAAGGTGCTAAGGTAACACTTTCCTAGTGATTATCGAACTTGCTTGCCCCCATTGTCACTTATGTGCATCTTTTGAACTTTATGCTAACTCGTGTTTCTAATGTTTTCAGGCAGTAAAGAAGTCTGAAGCCATTGTTCTAAGGCCAGGTCGGAATAATATTAACTTTCCTTTGCCCCCACAAAAACCAGGTTCCTATGTCTTGGGGGTTCTCACCGGACAGATTGGTCAATTAAGATTTAGATCTCATAGTTCTTCGAAAAGTGGCCCGGCGGACACTGATGATTTTTCGAGTTATGAAAAACCAACGAGGCCTATCTTGAAGGTATAAAAAAACTGAATGATATTCTTTGGTGATTTGGCAGAATTTGTAATATGCAATAAATAGATGCCTCTTTTGTTTACACATTATGCTGAATCATATACAAGGATTACAAGTTTCTTACGATATATTCTTATCTAGGTAGCGAAACCAAGGTCTTTGGTTGATCTTACCGCTGCTGTTTCATCTGCTTTGCTAATGAATGAATCTCAGTGGGTTGGGATAATTGTTAAACCTATCGATTACTCACTTAAGGGTGCTGTACTGCACATAGATACTGGCCCTGGTTTGAGGATAGAGGATAGACATGGCATTGAAATTGAGAAGCATGAAGTTGGGTCGCGGAAAACGCCCAACTTAGATAATCAACCTGACAATCTTTCTCCAGTTTCTGCGGCAGTCAAGCAATTGATTCCTGAAGATGGTAAGATCAGCTTGCCTGACTGGACAAGCAATATCACTTCAGTTCTATGGATTCCGCTACTGGCTGTTAGTGATGGACTAGCCAAGGGGACACCTGCAGGTGAATATTTTATAATTTTTTTAATTATAATTTTCAAATGTTAGCCTTCTGGAATGCGTAACTATTCTTTCCGATTTCTATAGGTACAGTTGTTCCCCCGAGACAGAATGTTGTGGATGGTTTGAGGACGATTGCTCTGAAACTTGACTTTGGAGCTTCTCATAACCAGACATTTGAAAAGTAACTTTTTTTTTTCTTCTTTATTTCATTTTTCCATTTTTTCATTCAGATTTTGTTTCATGTCCAACTCTATTTTTCCAAATCTTTTTGGGATCAAGCCTAACGTAACTGAGATTACATCACAGGACAATAGCTGTACATTTTACGAATCCTTTCCATGTGAGTACACGTGTTGCAGACAAATGCAACGATGGTACTTTACTTTTGCAGGTACTTGTGCTACATTTTCTTGTCCAGTATCCCCATTATAGTACAAACACCAAGGGACTTGCCCTACACGATTTGTCTTTCTTTCCCCTACTGCATTATAACAAAACAGTTTTTCTTTCAGATTCATCATTCTATTATTAGTTTCATATTTGAAGCCAATCATTCTCTAATTCTTCCATCTGTATGTTATCACTATATGCTCCCCCAAAACACACACTCACAAATACTTGCAATATTGCAGCTCTTCTTGAAACTATATTGTCCACATTACGCCCACCACTGCTGTTAATTTGAATAAAAATAACTGGAAACGAAGTACAATTCATGCTATGCCCTTCGTGATTTTTGTTGAGTTGTGCTGTTTACACATCTAAATTGATATTGATGTCCTTGTCGGGTCCAATTCTGTGAATTATCTCGTGCAACGATCGAAGAACTTTTGTTATCTATAGGAGTACAAAATGTGCTTTCTAATCTTTGCTACCATTTACGTTCGTCTATTGCTAGGTAATACTGCAGTCACAGGTGAAAGCCTCACTGGTCATCTATGATGCTTGGCTCGATCTTCAAGATGGCTTTGCTCATGCCGGAAAAGCTGATGGGAGACCAGCCTCTAGCTTCTTCCCTCTAGTTGTTTCTTCTAAATCAAGAGCTGGAATTTTGTTTACGATCTGCTTGGCAGATACACTAGCCAAAGGTACTGTCCCAAAAAAAATTTGTTCCTTGAGTTCTCTCATATTGATACACCTCAAAATTTTGGTTAATGAAATTTATATGCATTGAGTAGATGTGTCCAGTTTGTCTTATGTGTATTCTGCATTATTCGGCATTCGCATCCAACATAATTTGTGGCATTTAGGTCCCTGGTATTTTCAGTGTTACGAGTTTAAAGCATAATAAAAGTTGAAAGTGAATTGACAGTCAGTTCTTTATCTTAATTCTGCAGACGAAGCAAAGCAATTGGATCCAGCTAGTATATTAAATATCAGATACACAATTTCTGGCAGTAGAAAACTCGGAGCTCATAGCCCCGTAACCGAGGAACTTTCTGAACCTGATAATATTAAGGCAGAGCATTTGACCTTTAGGAGTGCTCTCGTTTTACAAAGACCCGTTCTGGACCCGTGCCTTGCAGTTGGTTTCCTTCCTCTCCCTTCAAGTGGGATCCGAGTTGGGCAACTCGTGACCATGAAATGGAGAGTCGAGAGATTGAAAGATTCTGAGGAAACCATGCCTTCTGACAACCTTGTAAGTTATTTTAGTTGCTATATTATTTGTCGGTAATTATTATACATAATTTCTTCAATTGAAATACTAGTTTTTCTTAAGTGTCGAATATTTTCTCTACACACTACTCGTACACTTTGCTGGGAACTCACTATTTCTTGTTGTGCGATAGGATGAAGTGTTATATGAAGTCGATATCAATTCCGAAAACTGGATGGTTGCCGGAAGGAAAAGAGGATATGTCTCGCTCTCCTCAAAACAAGGTATTCCACCATCCTCCCCATTTATTATCGGGTGTTTTCATGGACACACACACACATGATGAACATATACCACAAAAGAACACTAACACAGAAAGAAGTCGTTTGTGTGTGCGTCTGTGGAGCTGTTTTTATTCCTCTTGCTTTTTTGTTTTCCCCATTTAATTTACGGGACCTGTCTTTCTAAGTTTCATGTTATTGAAACAGGTTCGAGAATAGAGATCTCGATATTATGCCTCCCTCTAGTTGCTGGATATGTAAGGCCCCCTCAACTTGGTTTGCCAAACGTCGGCGAAACTAATATAAGTTGCAATCCACCTGGGCCCCACTTGGTCTGCGTTTTGCCTTCGCCCCTCAGCTCCTCTTACTGTGTACCAGCGGCTTGATGAGTTGCGGTATGTATCTTTACTGTAGAGTTGTGTTACCTCCGAGTTTTAAGTCTCTTCCAATACATGATAACGAATTTTGTAGGATGTATGAGTTTTTTCCTTTTCCTTTCCCTTTCCCTTCTCTTTTTACTTTTTGTATTCCGATTTTTTTTTTCGAAATTTTTAAGTTCAGCCACCTCGTTGTTGGTGATAGTCTTCTGTATGTTCGTTGTTCATGTACAGATTTGAGATTTGACCTATGGATATGTTGTACACATTGTCTGGCAAAAATGAAGTGAAAATATTGATTTTATTTATTTATTTATTTTTGTTTATAATTTCTAAGAAGCAAATCCCAATCTGTAAATAAATATAACTCATAATGTTATACAATATAAAAAAAATGGAGACAATACATATAAGAAATGAGTACAAACATATCTTAACAGTAAACTAAATTGTCGAAACACAATATTCCACTTCAAAATTCCTCCAAATTGTACAATTCGAAGAAAAAAAACAAGGGTTATCAAACTCCAACGAAATAATTTTTTTTACTCGAATGTTAGGGTTTAAGATTGAGCGAAAACTAATTTTCAACAACTACGCAGTTTTTTTAGAACAAGAAACCGAACTTTCAAAATAAGGTACGCAAAGGCTCTGAACTAAACTGCAACATGAGTTTGTCGAAATCTTCTCCTTCTCTTACTTCTTCATTGATCCTCCTGTCTTTCTCGTCTCGGTTTCTCTCCCGGGAATACAGAACGTCGTGACTTACAATGAGTTCGAAACAAATGGACACATATATAAAGTTGTTTTACTTACCACCAGTCCACGTGTCACACTCTCATTTGTCCTTAGGTCTAAGCAAAATCTCTTATCATTTGATTCATTCATGTGTGTATTGTGTTGTTACACAAAGTGCTCCATATCTGCATGTTCATAAAAAAAACATTGCACGTGACATATTTCACAAACCAATGAAATTGGAGACCAACAACCACAATCCATAATTCAGCACTGCTTATCTATTTGATTTGAATTTCAATTTTCTTAAGTTATTATACAAGGCAAATTATAGCCACCCCTGTGATAAAGCTCAAATTACGAAAATACCCCTCATGTTTGCATAATTGCATGATTACTCCCCTAACTATGTATTATCTTACGAAAAGACCCTCATTCAATAGGTAAATTTGATACTGGAATATTGGACGTGTAAGACGATATAAATAGTGTTGAGGGATGGTTGTAATTACCCAAACATGAGGGGGGTTTTCGTAATTTTCGGTGGTTTCATAATTTTTCGGTTCAATATTAAATTAATAAAGGAGATATTTCGATAATTTCAAGGACTATATAATATATTATTAACAAATTGTGACAATGGCAATTTCAATGAGATTCATCTATATATAACTTTCAGTTAATAATCACATGGCATTAATGGCTGTTCATCACATATATATATATATATATATATATATATATATATATATATATATATATATATATATATATATCGACGTACTTGTTTAGGTTATATAGTAATTCCTTACTTCAAAATCAGGCAACCTCAAATTCCCACATGCATCACCCTTCTCATCATCATTAATTATTATTGGTGGTTGTGTTAGATACTATTTACATTTAATTTGTACACTGCTTTATTTATTTATTTACCAGATTGAATTTCCAGATCAAGTTACTGCTCTATCATATGATGTGTCAGTGAGCCCGATTATGTGTCAAGATCGCTCGGTAAAAGCTCGTTTCAGCTTGTTAAATTTTGAGCGGATGAGCCGATATTTAATATAAAAATCGGATTCCACTAATTTTTTGACATGTGACACTCTTAAGTCTTAACTCTTAATAAATCACGTTGTTATAATTAGGGTTAGAGGGGTTACGTATTCTGCTGCGGTCTTTTTTTTTTTTTTTTTTTCTTCCAATTATTAGAATCCTAATTATATATTTATTTAAACTATCCACGTGTCAATCATTCTATGGCATCCGATTTTCCTATTAAAACAGGTCATCCGGTCTAAAATTGCACCCTTAACATAAAGAACCAAGTTTTTAACATATATTTTTGTTCAATAATTAGCTAAGAATTTCAAAAATGATGAAATATATACAAAACGTCACTTGAGTTCGATTCTTGTTTAGTTCGATTAAAGCTCATTCGAGCTCGACTCGATCTACTGCTTATCAAAATAAGTCAAACACAATTAAAAAATTCGATAAAAGATCTAAAACAAATTGAACATACATGCGTTCGTCTCAACTAGTACCTATCTCAAAGAAGTTTCATAAAAAATGATTTGAACGTAGAGGGAAAAAAAACATTTTCAAAACACGAAAGTGAAAAAACGCGTTTTCTATTCCCCTCTTTTTCTACGCTCACACTATGAAAAGCGCAAAAGCTTAACAAGGATGCAAGAATTAATAACGTCTTATAATTAAAAGAATAATGTCTTAATTAGTGCATACGTATTTGAATTTAAACAGAGCTTTATTCTTTTTATTAGCAAAAATAATATTAATATTAGTAATTATCATAGTAATAAATTAAATTAAATTAAAAAATTATAAAGCAAAGCTTAATCACATGAGAAAAAGCATATGTGAAAAGGGCAAGATTCTCTCTTCTCACTTTGCTATAGAATTAAAGCTCCTTTTTATTGCAACTTTGATAATTATAAAATTTGTAACTTTAATTGAGTTTTTTGCCAACTTCGGTTCGATAAACATAGATCCCATTAAATTTGTAACTTCGGGTCGAATTTTTTACCGACACTTTTGAAATCGAGTTCATCGTACAAAAATTGTCTAGTGCGATTTACATTTCTCGTATAATTTGTGAACTTCGGCACGGCAATGTTATTCATTCAATTTTCATATATGAATTTGAAAAAAAAAAAAAAAAGTTGGTGCAATTTGTTCAAATCATTAATGGCATCCAACTGACTTGTCTCTCTCGGTTGTGGAAGCATATAAAAAAAAATCATAATAAATAAATAAATTATTAAATAGGTAAAGATATGTCACTTTGACCTGAAAATGACACGACTTTGCCAAATTTTCAAAACCAAACTAATAAGGAGACAAAAGCATCATTAATTTCTTGCCGTTGAAATAGTTGTCATGGATTAAGAATAATTTAACTCATAGCCTTCTATATATTGCAATTAATTATTATTTATCTTCTATTGTAACATCATTCATGTAGGCTTAGTGTATATTATTTGTATTGTTAATTTATTTATTTAGTTAGTAAAACTAGCCATGATTAGGGGTAGAAATCGGGCGAAATTGATCAGAAATGGTTTTTTGTTGAAAATTTTCCGTAAAAAACAGGTTCCAATTTTCGTCTTCATAAAATTCGGGATGCAAGAATTCATTCCGATTTTGGGATGCATATGAACTAAAATTGGATTGGAAATTGAAATTTTTGGGAATTTTATATACAATTCAGATTCCGTCTCAAATAAATTCGGAAAAAATGAAATTTCGAAACTTCGAAAATTGGAATGAAAAATATGGTTCTAAATTTGAATATTTCGGATCAAAATTGGTTAAATTCAGAAACTTCATTCCAATCAATTAAACAACCGGACACAGATGTTTGGTCGGACCAATAACTTCCGAGGCCCGGTCTGTAATTGCAGGAAAAAAAAAAAAAAAAAAAAAACTCTAATATGGGCTAATCGAGAAAATAAATATTATTGCAAGTGTAACACTCATGTTCCATGAGATTATTTAAAATAGTGAAATTTAATTAGACAAAATTGGAGCTATCTCAATTTTTAAAAATAAAAAATAAATATGTTATCTAAGTGAAGTGGTCACACACACACACACACACATGATGGATAACAAAGGAATTTAATTAAATAAATCAAATAAACTAAAATTCCTCACCTCTTTTCTTTATCAAAGTCGTACGATGGATGCTGACCCACCAACAACCCCTATAACATGCTCTACTCAATTATATCTCTCCATCTCTTCTTGTCTTTTCTTTTTATTTAAATAATAAATTAAATTAGTAAAAAAAAAAGTGTATTTAATATTTTTATCTATTTACCATCTTTAAATTATAAATCTTTTGTTGTAAAATAATATATATTTTTATTTGAGTAATATATATATGCACACTAAATTAAGTGATTAACAAAGTTCAATCAATTATTTGAAATAAGAAATAAGCAATGTTATCAAAATCGAATCGGGTATGGAATCGGACGACTATTTGGATAATGGTTTCATAGGGTCGAATCGGTTCAAACCGTTTTTTTTTTTTTTTGATTTTTTTGGTTTTATTAATTTTAATATTTTAAAAATACTATTTTTTTTTTAATTTTCCTCCTGTTATTTTCACTTTTATTCACGTCATCTCGTTTTTACTAGGTTTCTTTTGGTTTCACTTTATATTTTACGGATCGGGCAATCCGCCACCCCTATTCGACCATCCATGATCAGATCCGACCGTCCACAATTAATTCCGTGAAGGCTTGCTCAGATCCAACCACAAATAACCAATTCCACCGGTGGTTTGAGCTGTTTTAACCGAAAATCGGGTTCATTGACCAATTCGAACTGAATTTTAGTCATTTGACCACGTTTTTAAAGGTCAAACATGACCGTCTCTTCGTTGAGTCGCGGTCGAACCGGTCCAACCGACCATCCGATTCTAACAACATTGGAAATAAGGTTTGTGGACTAATTAAAATTTAAAACTACTTGCAATCACTAACTTAAAAGTTTCATAAATTATTAAAAGCACCAAATAATTTTAACTAATAATAAGACATATATAGCATAAGAGTACAATTTTATTTCACTTCGTGACAAAAAATATTTACAATTGATATTAAAAAAAAAAAAAAAAAAAGTACATATTTAATACAGTAATAATTCCTCCCTCTTACAAAATGTATATCTGGTTCCACTTCGTATCCCCAGACAATTTCCATTTTTTATCAGTAAAAAACAAAAATTAAAAATCCATTTTATCTTATCCATAATTCCGATTTTCTTTTTTCTTTTTTTTTTTAATTTAATTTAAAAAAAGAAAATCAAAATATTTTCTCTCTCAATTTTAAAAATCAATTTAATGTCAACAGAGGTTGTTGAATCTCCAATCCAGTCTCACTTCACCGGGGCCCACGTAGTGCTGACGTGGCTTCCGGAAGGAGACGATGTGGCTGCCGGCCATGAACGCCGTCACGCGCTCCGACACCCTGATATCCTCCATCCTCAGCTCGTTCAATCGCTGCACGTACTCCGGCGCGTGGACCAAGTCCCACACCACCGCGACGCCGCCGGGCTTCAGCACCCGCACCACCTCCCCCAGCACTCTCATCCTCTCTGCCGCCGCCGCGGCGGTCTTCTGCCCGAACTCCTTCCCCACCGTGTGCACGAATACTGCCGACACCACCACGTCGAAGTATCCGTCGCTGAACGGCAGCGTCCTTGGGTCGCCGGGCCTGCACTCACGGCGGCGCTAATTGTTAGAGTTCAATTTTATTACTAATAATTATATTTTTGAATTTTTCAGATTAAAAAAAAATAATTAAAAAATAATAATTAAAATAAATTGGTTGTTGAATTTTACCTGCAAGTGACGTACTTCTGAACGCCCTCGAGAGCAGCGGTTCTGAGTGTGTGGTTCGGGCTGAGGGTAATGTTTCGGGTTTGGGTCGGGTTAAGCCCGACGACTCTGCCGGAGGATCCGGATTTTTTGAGCTGGAGCGCGACGGCGTTGAGGAGGATGCCGCGGCCGCAGCCGAGGTCGAGTGCGTGTTTCACGGAGGACCAGTCATTGACGGAGGAGACGATGCGCTGCGACATCTCCCAGTGGAGCGCGACGGCGGAGTAGAAGAAGTTCGCCGCCGCGAAGAAGAGGCAGACGGCGGAGATGGCGGTGACGGAGCCGGTGAAACCGGCGGCGAAGCGGGCGGCGGCGGGGGCGGCGAGGAAGCGGTGGTGCAGGAGGAAGCAAATTGGCTCGAAGTAGATGAGGAAGACGACGGAGAGAATTGAGAAGGCGACGGCGTGGAGGAGGAGGAACAGCGGCGTTTGCCACTCGTCGACGCCGTAGATGGCGTAGATCTGCGTCCAATCTCTGCCAGCTTTCCCCATTTTGATCACCTCAAAAAGTGATTTTACCACAATCAGATCCAGGAAATTAATTTATTATTATTGTTTATCATACAGAGACGAAAATTACAATACTGCCACTTCTCCAAGTAAAGAAAACTAGAGAGAGAAAGATGAGAGAGAGAGTGTGTGTGTATCTCACACTATATTTATATTCAGTAATAATGAAGCAGAAAAAAAATGGTGGTAGTACTAATCACGAAAAGCAGACGGATGATAAGATTGATTCTTATAATGAAAGAGATGATGTATATATATGAGTAAACTGCAAAAACTACCCCTGTATAATCTTGAAATAGCAAAAACCCCCCTGTGATAAATAAACTAGCAAAAACCTCCCCTGTGAAATTATTTAAATAGCAAAAACCCCCCTATGGAACTATTTGAGGGTTGACTTGATATGAAAAGACCCAAATACCCCTGAAGTCTTGCAATTAATAAATTCTTATATTTTATAAATATTTTAATTATTTTATTTAAAAAATAATCAATTTAGTTGTTTACTATTTTTTTAATTTCTAAACAAATAAATTAAAAAGAATAAATATACATATAATATGTATATATATAAATACATTTTGAGGGACAATTTTGTCATTTCAAGTCTAAAAAATCAGCTAGGGGGGATTCTGCCTTTGACTAAATTTCACAGGGGGGTTTTTGCTAGTTTATTTATCACAGGGGGGTTTTTGCTATTTCGAGATAACACAGGGGTAGTATTTGCAGTTTACTCGTATATATATATGTGTGAATCTTTTTTTTTTTTTTTTAATTTTTATCTCTCTAGGTTACGGAATCACGCGTTTTTGTGATTCGTTTGTTTTAGAGAGAGAGAAAGAGAAGAGAGAGAGAGAGAGAGGGGGGAGAGAGAGGGGGAATGGAAAGTTAGTTATTTTGGGGTGTGAAAAGCAGAAACTTATGAGTAGAGTTGTTCCTTGTATTGTTTTCACGGTGAGTGGGGAATTGAAGTGCGGTACGCACAGAAACAAATAATTGACGTCTAGTTATTGTTCTGTTATGGCGCAAGTGTGTGAGTGTGTGTATGTGTATCTATTTACTTATCTTGTATCTATCTATCTATCTACTAGTGGAAGTGGTGGTATTGGGCTTGCTTTTATTTATTTTCATATATACTTCTTCTCATTGGTAATTTTATCTTAATGGGGGCATATAATATGAGTTCAGCTGGACTCAATTTTAGAAAATGAAAGCTCGATGAACTTGGGATCGAGCTCGAGCTTGCCATGTTGGACTCCAACTTCAAAAAATATACAAGTTCAATCTGATCTTGACTTGTTTACATAATTTATTTTACTCCATCTATTCCATAATATCTGTCTATTTTGAGAATTTCTTTTGTTCCATATTATCTGTCACTTTACAATTCCAATGCTGCATTCGTTGCTTATTTTTCAATTTTATCCTTATTAACTATATATCACTCTTTCTGCATTAATTAATAAACAAGGATATTTTGGTCCATCAATATCTATTTTTTTTAAAATCAAGACATATTTATTGAGATTCTTAAGAATTGTGCCAAGGTGAAAAACGACACCTATTTAGGAACAGAGGGAGTATATAAGTATGACCAATGAGCAAAGATATGATATTTTTCTAGAGTTTGGAATTTTTTTATTTTTTTTAAATAGATCTGAGTTTTCTTTGGCTTATAGTTATATATTTTTTTAGTGTTTCTTTGTTTCTTAACTTATGATCTCAAAAGTATATGTGAATAAGTTAACCTGGATTTGTGTTTTTAATTTTTTATTAGTAATTGTCATCTAAATTTAGTTTTTAAGACCATTTCATACAGTTTACAAAAATAAGCTAAAAAATTGAAATGAAAGATTATTTGAACTAAATGCCCTAATTGGTAAATTCAATTTGTCGTGAGAAAATTAATTAGAACCATTTTCCAGTGGACATATATAGTTAAGTTTTATTAAAGAAAATAAATAAAGTTGACTTGGCCTAATTTCATCTGATTTGTAGGCAATTTTTTGTATCTTAGTTCATTGAATTCAAGGTAGACGATTCATTCCGCCAATCAAGGGCCAAACTTTGGTCAAAGTCAAGCCAAGATCAAAAGGAGTATTATTTATTATTATTATTATTATTATTATTATTATTATTATTATTATTATTATTATTATTATTATTATTATTATTATTATTATTATTATTATTATTATTATTATTATTATTATTATTGTTTTTTATTTCTTTTAATTTTAATTATTTTTTAAATTTCTTTTTAATTTATTTGGCAAGGCCAATTCCTTAGTCCTCATATTGGGGGAAATTAAAATTAAACGAGCGCGTTAAACCTGAAGGCTAATTCCTAATCCTTGGATTTATAATGTGTTTGGCTAAGCTTATAAGATGTTAAAAGATCCCTAAGTCCTCATATTTGGTAATTTTTTTAAAAAAAATCTTAATTTTTTTTAAAATAAACTGTTGAAGACCAAATAAGATCTTTTTAAATAAGTACCTCTAGCCCACCTTTTTATTTAAGATCTGATTATGAGTAAAAATAGGAAATAAACTCATTATCCAAACACTCTAAAAATTAATTATAAAAATAAGATGTAACGACTTATCGGCTCTAAGAACATCTTATCATACGTAAGAGCTTATCAGCTGTTTAAATAAGCTTAGCCAAACACCCTCTTAATCACG